TTCCATTTATCTTGTTCTTGTGAGATTTTACTTAAAAAAAAAAACTCTTGGCTGTCATTTTAGTGGTGTTTCAGGATGAAACAGGCAGATGTGGCTTAATATGCCATGCTTTTTGTTACCTTCCTTTTCCCTACATCTTTAAATTACAATTATCCTATTTGTGGATCTTTACCTTTGTATACTGTATGTGTGAGTGTTTAAAATGCATCATTTGGTTCATGGTTTAATGGGTTAATGAATCACAAAAGGAGATATACCTAGGCCTGGTCCAGATGAATGGGTATAAATTGGATACCCTGGACCTCGTCCCTTTCACAAGAGGTGGCTAAGACTCCTGGGAAAAGTGTGAGAGCATTGGCAGTTGTACATGGATGGCTGCCTTATGTGAAGAAGGAAAATTCTGGAAGTGGAAATGTATATGGGAAGGCTTGCGTGTGTGCATATGTGCACATAGTTATGTGCTAGGTAGGAAAACCACGGTCTGCTAACAACTTCCGTTATTGTTCTTGCCCGGGATTTCTCTTCTTCTTCTTCTTCTTCTTTCTTCTTCTGCTTCTCCTTCTTCTTCTTTCTTCTTCTGCTTCTTCTCCTTCTTTTTTTTTTGAGACAGGGTCTTGCTACGTTGCTGAGGCTGGAGTGCAGTGGCTATTCATGGGCACCATCATAGCTTACTGCAGCCTCAAACTCCTGGGGTCAAGCCATCCTCCCACCTCAGCCTCTTCTCTCTCTGCTTTTCTTGACAGTATACCCTTCTTTGGGGGAAATTCTTCTCCCTCTGCTCTGATGCCATAGCTCTAATGGGTATGGCCCGTCACATACACCAAGGATTGGCAGTAATGCAATCCAGGACACAAGAATCCTTCCTTGCGTTTTTCTAATCCAAGGGAGGAAAAGCACAACCCCTGGAGAAGCAAGGCTGTAGGTAGGTGTGTGTCTGGAAGCATCACTAGCTTGGGAGCAGCTGTTCTGCAGTGGCGGGGAGCAAAGAAGGCACACAGAGAGAGGCAGCTCGGAGAAGGAGGGCTGCCTGGGGGCATTCCCGTTGCTTTCCTGATCAGTGTTCTCTCCTGCCCTTCCCTTTCTGCTTTTTGCCTTTGCTTTGTGGGTTTTGCCTTTTAAGGTTCAATTTTAATACTTGAAGCTAAAGGAGATATAATATTAATATACCAACTGAATGCACAAAGCACAAAATTGCATATTGAAGGCTTTTGTTACTTCCATAGTTATACGAAATTGCCACAGAATTGTTAAGCTTTAAGTATCCATAAACAATTACAGCTAAAGTTTTAGAAGACATTTAAAAATAAAAAACATTAGCATCATTTTCCATATTCGTCTGAATATAAGGTGACTTAAAATAATAGAACAGTACACAGCATAAGAACACAATTCACATTCTGAACCCTGGGAAAAAAGAGGTCTAGACGCAGGTCTCGGAGGAAATTGGACAGGGGAGGGGTATTTTAAGCCTACGTTTTAAAGCTTTGAAAAGTGTTTTCTTGTTTGCTTTTAAATGTACTATGTAGACGCTTTCAAAAGAAAGTAAATTTCAAGAAACTATTTAGCTTAAGGCAAAGACAAAATTTCTTTTCAGTTATAAGATATCAATTTAGGGATATTAAAAGATTACTAGGGAGGGCAAATCCCTACAGTGGAACCTCTCAGGAACATGATTTATGGTATCTTACATGGCAGTCATCATCTCTGCCATTTATAAGGTCTTCTGTGAAAAGTAAAGCTTACATTCAGATCATCTTTTACTTGGACTAACAGCATTACTTTTGGCCACTGCGATTATCACTATTTTTATATGCACTGCCAATTTAAAAGGTAGGAATTAGAGCACTTAAAATTTTTCCTGCATTTTTATCACTGTGCATGTTGTTGTCTCATTCAGTGATTGACGTCTTAGGATGAGTTCTTAAAGAAACCTCTTATTCTGGAGAGTAGCTCTCTATCTCCGTGAGCATTCCTGTCTGGGCAGAGTAAGGCTCTGTGGCCAGCAAGACATGCTGGGCTCCTGGCTTCCATTAGACTCTGGCCACACAGGTCTGTCCACATTCAGAGCAGGGAAGAAAAGCTGAGGAGTCCTTAAGGAAGCAAGTAGAATACTACCTGGACATTTATACTATTTGGTTACTGGGGCCATGAAAAGCCAAGTCTTTGAATTAGGTAATTGGTATCCACATGGTATATCACAATCTCATACTGAATATAAATGGAATCCCCTAAAATCTTGGGGGCTGTATCGGTAGGGTAGGAGCATTTTGTTCCTGTGGAGCCTCTACTCAAGTAATTGTGCTTCTTGATCGATCGGAGCTCAACCTTCTTTTCTGGTCTGCGCTCTGGCTGCCTTTGGCCTGCTGGTCAGCCCTTGCAAAGTTTACGATAACCACCTCTAGGGTGGGCTAATTCTACCAGAAAGAGGTGCTGGCGGAAACGCTGACTTTAAGATGAAATCTTAATCCAGGCTATAGATTATCTGAAGCAGCTTTCAAAAATGACAGATACCATTTTGTGACTGGCAATCACAGCTGGCTACTTACAATTAAGCTTGGGGGTGTAACACAGCAAGCCTAAGGGGTAGTCCTCTACAGAGGTGGTTATGATTATTACTGCTCCCTTCTTTTAGTTTTCTCAAGCAAGAAAACATTGTCCAGAAAGCCATGCTCCTTCTAACAGCTTCTAGCAGCCACATTCAGCTGCGGTCACTGAATGTGGCACATACAACACATGGCATCCCCCCCCCCCCCCCCCCCCCCCCTTCCCCCCGCGCCCCCACCCCCACAAGCCCCCCCCCCTCCCCCCCCCCAACTCCCCTCCTCCCCCGTCACCGGGCACCAAGGTGTACACCCTCATGTACTTGGGTGACTTAGCATGACAGAACTAGTAAATGATGAGAAGAATTCAGATGGGAAATGCTACTGAATGAGATGGTATTCTTATAATTAACATGAAAACTATGACCTGAATTCTTTGAATAGGCCACCTTATCTGCCTGGTTTTGAAATGGAAACATCTTTGATCTGGAGTCTAGGTTTGAATGCTACGGGTGTTTAACATAAAAAACCGAAGTCTAAGGGCAGCAAGGGTTATCATAATATCTAGGTAGGTGTGACGGGCTTAATTGCTTTGTATTCGTCCATAAAAATTCCTTTCCTGCTTGAGAGGGCATTACTGGTAAATCATTCTGTCTCTTCCTCACTTATTCTCACATTCCAGTTTACTTCCTAAGTCATAAAAATAATATATAAAATCCTCACATAAACCCCAAAAGGTAGATATTATTTTTGTCCCCATTCAGAGATAAAAAATTGAAAACAAGGCCAGGTACGGCGGCTTGCGCCTGTAATCTAGCACTTTGGGAGGCTGAGGCGGTTGCATCACTTGAGATCAGGAGTTTGAGACCTGCCTGGCCAACATGGTGAAACCCCACCTCTACCAAAAAAAAAAAAAAATTAGCTAGATATGGTGGCAGGTGCCTGAAATTCCAGCTACTCGGGAGGTTGAGGCAGGAGAATCGCTTGAACCTGGGAGGCAGAGGTTGCAGTGAGCTAAGATTGGGCCACTGCACTCCAGCCTGGGTGACAAAGAGAGACCGTGTCTCTGGAAAAAAAAAAAATTAAATTAAAAATGAAGACGAGAACATTTCAAGGTAAGCAAAGAGCCAGCATTCCAACTCAGACAGAGTTTGGCTCAAGAGTCCATGCTCTGGTGCCCTGCACCACTCAGCTCTGCCCAGAAGCAGTGGCCTGACTCTCTCACTGCTGGAAAGTGCCCTAACAAGGCTAAAGGCAAGTACTCTTACCTGGTCAGGTCCTGGGTCTCCACACAGGTAATGTATTATCAGGCCACTCTGGTTTATTAAGTCCCTAACTTCTCTCTTCAGGGTAGTACTACACTTTACTCATTAGCTTCCTTGTCAGGCTATTGCCCAAACTTGCTTGATGATAAGAATCAGCTGGAATAAAAATGTAGCTTCTCAAGATCCTATCTTTAGAAATTCCAATTCACTGGGTATGATGTTGTCCCAGAAATCTGTTTTCAACAAGTGACCCAGGTGATTCTTCTCATCAGTCAAGTTTGAGAAACATTGCCCTAGGAGTTTTAGCCAATGGGAACAAACATCATTGTCTTAAGCACTATGTATTACATAGTCCAAATTTCTATAGCGTTTCTATACCTGAATTAATCCAAAGCAATCGGTACATATGGCACAAAATGGTTTTTTTTCCAGGAAGGACTAGGGGGTGGGCTGGAATGTCTTTGTGGTTTTCTTGTTTTTGAGTGATGACTGTTAGAAAGAATTCTTTAATGGCCGTGCCCTTGAGGGAGTTTTTGCATTGCTCTGGTCATGGAACAGCTTATGCCAAATAGAAAGCCACTTTATATAGTTCTTTCAAGTCCTGCCTGAGAGAATTTTTGGAGAAGAGCAAATTAAATAAAGAGGAGAAAGAAGTACACAGTTCTCATTCCTTGAAGGCCCCTAAAGCAAACTCCTTGCATAACCAAAAGAGAGACACTAGGGCTTTTCAACTTAAATGTTTATAAATTATATACAGAACTATTTAGGAGAAAAATCTTATAAGGGATTAATTCAATTTACACCGTCTAATCAAAGAGCAAAAATGATCTTTGACATTCAAAGAATTCAAAGGCAAAACTGTTGAAACTCATGACTATCAAAACATTGTTTCAGGTTAAAAAACGGATCTGAAACATGCCTAATCTGCTCTGACACTGTCACCACTGCTTGTCACAAATGAAGATTCCACCTGAGGCACCACTGAAAGCCAAACTTCAGTTGCTGTATTTGTGAGTCAGTGGGGGAAAAAATAAAAAGTAGAAATTAAGACTAAAAGACGGCCAAAGGAAGAGAAAGCAAACCAGTCCTTTCTGCCCGGTGGAACAACCTGCTTTTCAGGCCTCACTTCTGACAGGGGCACTGCAAATCAGTAGCAAAGGCCAACACCCAAGTCGAAGACACAAGACATACGTACCTCTTGGTGGGAGTGGGCACTCCGGAGGACATGTGGCTAACCACGGTGTCATTCATATTAGTCAGAGGGCGAGGAGGACTGAAAGAAAAGACATTTGCCTTATATTAATAATTACCAACTAGGGGAAACAAGGGAAACGACGATAGGCATGATAAGAGCAAAGGGACCAACGATCGTTCACGGTAAGCACAGCGGGACCCAGGCGGAGGGCGGCGGACCCAGGCGGAGGGCGGCAGAAATTGATACTTCAGGCCTAAGTAAATTCAGCAAAAGGTTCTCTCTCACAAAGCCACAGGGCCACTGAGCTGTGGGTACCAGGAGAAGCAACTGATCATAAACACACTACTACAGGACATAACTTTGGTGGCTTTTGCTTTGTAGTTTTAGTACGTAAGAATTTAAATTCTGCCCCTTAGTGAATTTCTCTACATTTTAGGTACCACATTACTAGGTGTCTGGCATTCATCGTATATTACAAAGGTCGTAACATCGAGGTGCATGCTGTTCCTGAGATTTGGTTAGAGCTCACTGGTTTCCCTCAGACTTAAGTTTGTAAACTTTTAACCAAAACAAACTGTAACACACCACATTCAAAAATAAGACTCTGGAACAAACTTTGATTAATTCTCTACTAGAATCTTAACAACAAATCCAAATTTTACACCTATACCCTAATTAGAATGTTGTCTTTTATAACCCCTAATCCAAACTTAAACTTGAAGGTTAGCATTTTTGATAACTCGTCTTTAGGTGCAGGTTTTCTGGACTCAGGTCTGTCCATTTCTCCTTCTTGTGAAAGTCCTGAAGGAATGAATTCAAGCTTCTCAAAAAGGTGCCAGGTATCTTGCCTTCCAGCCATTCTTCAACCCCTCTCCCTCCCTACTAGGTTCAGCTACAAAAGGGTTCTGTCTTGCATCTGGAATCAAATGACTATTGCTAAATACTTCTCCTGGAAAATTTCTCACTTCCTCTTTTAAACTGGAAGAAGTACAGTCATGTGCCGCACAATGACAAACCACATATATTTTTATAATAGGTTACAATACTGTATTTTTACTGTATCTTTTCTATGTTTAGATATATACATACCCTTGTGTAACAGTTGCCTCCAGTACAAGTTTGTAGCCTAGGAGGTTACATACATACACAGAGTGTACTTACACATACCTTGATGGTTGTGCCTGCTGCAAACCTAGGCTACACCATACGGCCTAGGTATGCAGCAGGCGAAACCACCTTGGTTTGTGTAAGTACACTCTCTGATGTTAACACAACACAAAATTGTCTAACAAAGCATTTCTCAGAATGCATCCCCCACTGTTAAGTTATGCATGATTATACTTCTCAGATTTGTCCATCAAAAGCATAAAACTGAAGCCGAAAGTCCTTCTCTCATATTTAGGTGCTTGGGAACTAACTACCTTCTGGTTTCTCCTTCTGTTTAAGGACAGAGTCAATTGTGTATAACGTTTTTGGAGAGGTTATACTTAGCAATTCTTGGTGACTATTAAGGGACCACAGTCTTTATTGTTTTGCAGGTTTCGTAGTACATTCAAATAAAAGCTCAAGGGGAAATCTTTCAGGGAGAGCCAAGGAACCCAAACGTTAAAGAAGGATCTCTTCCTCTCTCCATCTATCTCTATGCATTTTTTTTTTCTCTTCTTAAACCAACTGCATTTCTGTGTAGGGATTTTTAAAAATGATTTTTCCATTTAATGGAGAGGATCCGAGATGGAAAGTAATTTGCAGGGAACATATTTTGGTCTCTTGATTTTTAAGCCATAGTACTATGCTTATTGTTCTACATTCCTCCCTTTGTGACAGGCCTCTAAGTAAGACACTGAGAATTGAAATGCGCCTCTCTAGGATAGAAGTCAATTCCCAGTTATTTATCTGACTACCTGTCTTCAGACAGATATCTACTTAGATCCCAAACTTTCAAGACTATTAATGCTAGTGGCTGTGCTGAGTTATAGTCAATTAATTGGCTGTTTTAGGCTGACTAATGATGGAAGTGAACATAGAGATCAGCTTACATTTAGTCCTATATTTATATTTTTGCCTCTGGTTCTTTTATATCAATTGCCCTACTGAAACAAGGAGACAATCCCTATGAAAGAACCAAACCCAGCACAACAGCTTTCTGGTCCTGGAAAGAGAATGGGCTTTTCTTTAATGTATTATTATTAGCAATCTGTTTCCAAAAGAAGATAAAGACATTTTCATATTGCTTTCAGAACTAATATAGTTACCTGCTATATATATTTTTTTAAATTTTTAATAAATAATAGAGACAAGGTCTCACTATGTTGCCTAGGCTGTTCTTGAACTTCTGGGTTCAAGTGATCCTCCCACCTCAATCTCCCAAAGTGCTAGGATTACAGATGTGAGCCACCATTCCCGGCCACGTGCTATATTTCAATATTAAAGATATCACTGCATTCAATTTCCTTTTTGGTATTCTCAGAGGAAAAATGAGAATAAAAAATTCTAATTCCTAGAACATAAATCCATGCAATAAAATTTCATGATTTGTAACAATTTGTTCTGATACCACAAACATCTTTATAATCACCAATATCTCTTGGTATATATCATGTTCAACTATTATAGCACAAATTTCAAAGCTTCTTCTCTAATATTCAAAACCAGACAGTAATGGTTATATTATAAACTATAAATTAATCGTAACTGACCCCCAAATGTCACAGTCTTTCTGAACTCCTAACATGCTTTGCTAGAAAGACAGGCATATGTCTGCAGTTTAAAATGAAAGAAGCACTTGCAAACTTAAATGAGGTCTTTACTATAGAACCTCCACTAGAGCCACAATTCACCATGAAAGCCAACAGCTCAGATGCATTCTTAGAAGGCATAACATGGCCTGGGGAACATAGTGAGACCCTGTCTCCACACACACAAAAAAGAAAAAATTAGCCTGCTGGCCAGGCGCAGCAGCTCATGCCTGTAATCCCAGCACTTTGGGAGGCTGAGGCGGGTGGATCACAAGGTCGGAAGTTCAAGATCAGCCTGGCCAAGATGTTGAAACCCCGTCTCTACTAAAAATATAAAAATTAGCTGGGTGTGGTGGCGGGTGTCTGTAATTCCAGCTACTTGGGAGGTGGAGGCAGGAGAATCACTTGAACCCGAGAGGCGGAGGTTGCAGTGAGCCAAGATCACGCCACTGCACTCTAGCCTGGGTGACAGAGCAAGACTCCATCTCAAAAATAAATACATAAATAAAATAAAATAAAATAAAATAAAATAAAATAAAATAAAATAAAAAAAGAAAAAATAAATAAATAAATAAAAATAACTACTGCTGTGGTGCGGTAGGACGCCACGTTTTTGTAACTAAGACTTAGGAAAGCAGGCAGGGATATTTGTCTGTGAATCCAATACTAAATCTGCAATATATGAACCCCGTCTCTGCAAAAATGCAAATTTATTATGAAATGCAAGAATCCTGAAGCAGCTGAAAAATAAAATAAAATAAAATAAAATAAAATAAAATAAAATAAAATAAAAATTAGCCTGCTGGCTGGGTGCAGTAGCTCACGTCTGTAAAACTAGCACTTTGGGAGGCCAAGGCAGGTGGATGGCTTGAGCCCAGGAATTCGAGACCAGCCTGGGCAACATAGCGAAACCCTGTCTCTACAAAAAAATACAAAAATTAGCTGGGTGTGGTGTTGCACGCTCGCAGTCCCAGTTACTCAGGAGGCTGAGGTGGGAGGATCACTTGAGGTTGAGGTTTCAGTGAAACTGAGATTGCGCCACTGCACTACAGGCTGGGTGACAGAGTGAGATCCTGTCTCAAAAAATAAAAAATAAAAATCAGTCTGGCATGGTGGCATGTGCTGTAGTCCTAGCTACTCAGGAGGCAGAGGTGGGAGGATCATTTGAGCCTGGGAGGTTAAGGCTGCATTGACTATGATGGCACCACTGCACTCCAGCTTGGGCGACAGAGCAAGATCCTGTCTCCCAAAAAAAAAAAAAAAAAAAAAAAGTAATACACTAAAAATGACTTCTGGCTCAAACAAACATAAAAAATCTTCATTGTTCTTGTAAGACATAACTGAAAAGAATATTTCCAGGTGTAAAGCAGACATTAATGCTACAAATTACAGAAACTTAAAAAAACAGAATTGGCACAACTTATTAGATTGGTTTTGCTGATTTTGAACATTTAAAACCAGTTGAGTACCTTCAGCACCAGATGTTCTGTATCTGTATCTTCCTTTGGTACAGATCTCAGCAAGGTATAGGCACTATTGAGTTTCATGATACCGAAATGGTCACCATCTATCACATGTTCCAGAAATGTGGGAGGTTCCTTCTTTGTTAATAAGATATACCATTTTTTCGATGGGATAGAAGCAGATGATGATATAGGTAGAAAGTATCTGGAGGTCAGTAGAGATGGTTTTTAAAAGACTTGGCAAGAATTTGGTACTTCTTAATTAAAGGGAAAGCATCACTGTTACTGCATACCTACTAATAAAAGATTACCTTTATTTCAATGACCTAACTGTATATAGATGGAGGCAAATATGCAAGCAAATCATCACAATGCCATGTAATGAGTGCAGCAATGAAGTATAGTCGGCCCTCCATGTCAGTCGGTTCAACCAACTGCCGATGGACATTATTCAGAGAAAAAGTTCCACAAAGTTCCAAAAAGTAAAACTTGAATTCACCATGTGCTGAGTACTACACTGAATCCTTGCGAAGGATGTGTGTGTAGGCATTGTGTTAGGTATTACAAGTACTCTTAAAGTATATGGGAGGATGCACATAGGTTATATGCAAACACTATAAAACTCAAGTTTTATTTCAGGGACTCGAGCATCCTTGGGTTTCCGTATCTGTGGGTGCTCCTGGAACCAACCCCCATGGATCCCGAGGGACGACTGACAGACCAAGTGCTGAGAGTCACAGATGAAGATCAGGTACTTCTGCCTGGAGGAACAAGGGGCAAGAATCGTCATGGAAGGCCTCAGAGAGGAGGCATCATTGAGAAGAGTTTTCCAGATCCAGAAAAAAATTAAGAGAACCCCAGACAGAAATAGCATGTAAAA